ATCCTTTTCATTTTTTAAACGATAAAAAATTTTTTACAAATATCACATACATATATACTGGGTGATCTATCCCGGTATACACTGTCTTTAAGAGTGCCCCATAAAAGAAAACCTAGATATGTTAGATCCGGTGACCTAGCAGGCTAGACAACTAGACCACCTCTTGCAATCCTACGGCCTGTAGTCCCGATCTAAGGCAATCTTGAATAATGAGCGGGGCAGCCGTCATGTTGGAATCATGCTGAATTTTCAAGCATTACTAGTAATTCTCTATCAAGATACTCTCAGTATTTTTGTCCATCTAGGATCCCATCAGTAAAACACGGACCGATTAATTTGTCCCCGATAATTCCGAGCCAAACATTCACGGATCCACCGTGGTTTCCTATATTCCAGTAATATATTGTGCCTGTTTATTTATCCATGATTTGTAAAACGTAAAACCTGACTCATCTGAGAATAATAGGTACGTCAAGAAGGTTTCGATTCGAATACATTTTGTGGCTTGCACATGATCTTTATTGTGTTGATCATGGTTGGTCATCATTTTGAACATTTATTAGGAATTTATTTTTTCTGTGTAAAAGCTGGTGCCAATTTGCTCAAATACATCAAGTGATTTGTTAGTTGATATTTTCATTTATTATAATGTTGTAAATAAAGTTACAAAAAAATGTTTCATATAAAAGTTACTAGTACTCCTTATTTAGTTTGTAAACAAAGTTTCTCATTTGAAAATCCAAAGTTAAGATAGCTATATCTTTGAAGAGATAGTCAAGGTCAAACAACTGCAACGCCGTTTTATTTGCCCCCCGACACTGACTAACTTCTATTTGACACAATTTTACATAAAATATGCCGTTTTCGAAATATATAACTATCTCAATTTAAATGGATCATCCAGTATATTACACATATACAGGGTTATAAGTTTTTAATTGTCCAATACAGGTATCTCTCTTATTTTAAGAGTTACAGAATGGGCAAAAATGTGCAGAATTTTATGGCGATCACGGATTCGTTTCCAAATTTAGAAAATTCCGAATAGTTCCGAAGATAGGTATTTGAAGAAAACCGATTTTATGCTATTTTTTAGCGGTTCCTATACTCATACCACATCTTTTTCAAAATTTTAGGACAAAAATGTATAGTCTGATATTAATTGATGCGAGGAATTGATTTTTGATGTCAGTATTAACGTACCTATCTCTAAAAATGTGTGCAAAACGGTATTAACTTTTGTTTTTCTTATGGAAGCCATATTGAGTTTTTGCCTCATTAGAGGAAAGGAAAATTCTCTTTACAACGATTACAAATATGGGGTTTTCATAAATAAATAACCAAGATATTGAATATAAAGCTGTGATTGTCATATTTAGAAATTAGTTTCCAATCAAACTATTTTTCTCTCAGTTCTCAATAATTTAAATTGTCATTTGCTGAATACAAAAAATTCTGTTGTTTAAAATGTAGAGTGATAGTTCTGACTTTATTTAAATGGAAGGCTGTAATGTTTTACATATATTAACTGGTTTATGAAGTAAGTTGTGCACGTAGTTGGGTGAGGTTTTCAAGATACTCAAACTGCACATGTACCTTGGTGAACTATTAAAATAAATAATATAATAAGTGTTGTGTGCTTCTGTGTACACTGTACTGTAGGGAATAATATAATAGCAGGAGAAGAACATGGAAAGTAAGAAGGGCGAAGATTTCGAAATGCACTATTTTTCCGCACCAGTCTTCTTTCGCTGATAGTAGTTACAGTACTTCTCATCGAATTCAAGTTGGCCACAATTATTTTTTGTTCTTTTCATTCAGTAGCCTCCTCCGACATTTTTCAGTTCCAATTAAAAGTTTTACTATTGTACTTTTTAATTACAAAAGTAATAATATTTTGCGTTATTTGTTAGTTCCAGCAAAAATCCAATCTATATGAACATCCAAAAGAAGTTTATAATCCCTAAAATAATGAATAAATTCTTTCAAATTATCTCGCGTGGCTGAGTTGTTTTGTTAAAGTTTACGGATCTAATTAATTCAGAGAAAACACTGCTCCGCTTCCAGGTTGTATATATTTCTGAACGAGAAATATACCGCAGTGGCGTAGCTTCCGTATTTTGCGGTTTCTGTTTGCAATATTTATTACATAATTTTCACTGCTAAGAGGAAATTCGGGATGTTGTAAAATAAAGTACATTGGATATCTGTTTTAGAAGTAATTTTTTAAAGTGAATATATTTATTTTCTTTTAATCACATAAACCAACGTTGATGAACAGAGTTAAAGTTAAAGAAGTAACAAGTAACCTATACTATACAAGGTGTTTTAAAAAAAAGTGCCATATATTCAGAGACTGGTAGAAAATTAACAAATAGGACGGTGTTTCGTGTTTTGTTTTTACGAGGCAGAGTTAAAAATGTTTTCTTTTTAATTACATTTTGTCCATATCTTTTAAAAAACAATGTAGTCTATTGAAATTTCATACAATTGCCAATTTATAAAAATGCTAAAGTTAGTTTTCAACTATTTTGTAAAGGATGAAGGACCTAAGAACTTTCCCAGCAACATATTTGTCGAACGTTTTTTTTGGAAAAAACACAATTGACTGCGTAAAAGTCAACTACCTACCTTCAATAGCTAAAAATTCGCTTTTCTATTAATTATCTTCCTTCAAACCTTATCAGTTTTGTTAATTTATTGTCAAATTTTTAATTACAAAATGACGTCCCAAGCAATTGACAGTTTTTCAGAAGCAGGTCTTCCGTGTGTTACTAATGATAATAACTGAAACCAAGTGTCAATTTTAAAAGTATTAAAATAAATTTTTCGTCTAGTACTAAATGGGGATTTCAAAAAAATGTATAAAAAATATGAGAAACAAGAGAAATTTAACATATCAGAATGTGACATAACATCGAAAAGACCTAACCTCAAAATAGTTACATTAAAAAATAATTTTTGACATCTTGTATTTCAAAAATAAATGACGATTCCATGGTTCATGGAAAAAAACTAAAATACCCTGCCCAATTATAATGGCAGATTGATTTATTACCGTATTTTTTTGTTGGTACAGATTTTGAGAAAACGGAAAGAAGCATTTTTTATTACAATCACTTAAACATAGTCGAGTATTTACAAGAATTCTAATACGATTAAACTTAACTCTTTTACTGAATTTGGAACTAAATTAAATATTTTTTACGATTTACGAGTTATTACAAAAAGAAAATGAAAAAAAAATGTTTTTGAAAACCTGTAATTTTTTAAGAAGTAAAATTGTATTAACGCACTAGATTTAAATTGGTTTATTTTCACCCAACGAAGCTACCTACCTTTGTAATATTACGCTTCCGGGTATCCTGTATACAGGCTGTTACAAATTCGCTTCTCACTACAGGGATCTCGGAAACGGTAAGAGATACGAAGTATCTTAAATGGGAGCAAAGTTGCATAATCAAGGGACCAACATTATGCCTCTAAAAAATCAAGACTAAATGAATAAAAAAACGAAATTTTGGAAATCTCTTTTTGTTTCATTTCAACCTTGTTTGAGGTGATATTGAAAATAGAAGAACACTTTCTCATGGCAACTTTTTGCCCTCTATCGAATGGCATAATCAGTTTTTATATGTAACGTTTTGTCTTTCCAGGACCATCATCAACTTAATTTTTTTAAATACGACCCTGGAAATTTTATTACAATTTTTGCAAGCCTTAATGACATCCAATACTGTACTGCCTCAGCCCAAACTGGATTCAAACGTTTTGTCTCGAAAAATTCATCTTCAATGTATTAGCTCCAAATTTATCTAAATTTTTTATTTAGATTTTTTGTTTAGGTTGTTTATTGAATTATCATACACCTTAAGTGTCGTCAGACCCTGTGAAATCCACCTAGTTATTTAAACTATTACCACCACGCGTTATACAATTTTAAACTAATTTAAAATATTTTTCAACGAAACGTATTACCGACTTTCTACCTTCCCTCGTATTTAAAATTGAAATTAATTATCATATTTAGAGTAAACTTGTTATTTTAGTATACCCTGTTCTATTATAAATTTATACCGTAAAAATATAATTTACATAGCAATGATTAGAATTCGACTCGACATTAAAATCACAAATATTGAATAATTCATGGCAAGTTTATTTTCAGTCTGTATTATTTTATACAGGGTTAGTCTATAAATACGGTTGCATTTAATTAATATATAATTTTTACAATTTTAATATTTTTATTTTAATATGGAGAAGAGGAGAGATCTTTTTCTTGAGGTTCTTTTCTCTGTTGTAATTTTTTTGTATTTTTAATGGTTTTCGCGTAATCAGTTACTTTTCTGGTCATCACCAATGCATACACACTTGATTTAGTTATCAAAATGTAATTTATTTGATAATGAAAATAAAGTAATGCTTTGCGGGGTTCTGAAACTTATATGTAATTGATTTTCAGTTTCCTGCTTCTACATATTATGAACAGTATTATTTTCATCGAATTCATCTAATTTAATGCCGCTCAAATAAGAATAATCACTGAACTTCACGTAAAGCATTATTTCGTTTATAATCAAATAAATCAAATTTTTGGCAATAAATAAATCAGAGTACTAACATTCTTCGTACAGAAAATATTTTATACGCCAACTAATATTGGAACACACAACGCACGTGCACACGATGCACAGTCGGCTTACATTTATGGTTAATATTCTTAAAAATAATTTTCTCGAAAACAGAATCATTTATACCATCAGTTGCTCATTTCCGTGCCCATAGAACGTACTCATTTCAGAAGCCACTACATACGAGTATATATTTAAATGTCTAGAAATAACATATAGGTACATATAACTTTATGTATTGAAAATATTAGAAATATCTTAAAGGTTGTTAATAAATAATTATTAAAATTTGGCGAGTAAAATAAATTTTTTAGATGCTGCCACGTTAATTCGTGACGTCATTTAGTGTGATCGGGAATCGAGAAGATGAACGACAAGTTCAAGAAGTCCCAACAACTTAAGCATAGTAAATACCAGGTTGTGTTCTCGGTGGCGCTGAATGACATCACAATGTGTTCTTGATCACGTGACAGAATTTAAATGGTAATATAATTTTAAACGCCTACATTTTATTTGCATCATAAACATAAAACATAAAATACACCACAGAAAAGAAACAACCCCCAAATCCAAAGCCAAAGGCTGTGCGGAAGGGGGTTACACTTGAAAAAAACGCGGACAAACACCCATTATCCATCGACAATGCCAGTGCCGACGCCAGGGATCGAACCCGGACCAGAATAGGAAGTCTGACCGACAAATGCTTGCCACCGCATGCTCGACCGACTACGCTACCGCATTAAAGACATTATTTTTTTACCATTTAGATTTTACACGCAGGTATAGGAATTAAAACGCACCCCGCGTTATCATTTAACGAGTGCAATTTTCCTTATAACTATCCAATTTAGTAAAGTGAATCGATATCTTCCCGTTACCTTGCTCATTTCTCTTTCAGTTCTTATAATATCCTTGTACTGTTTGCAAGATCGCAAGGTATCGTGCACATCGTGAGAATTCTGACACTTGCACTAAGCACTTCCCCGGGTGTTTCCAAATGCCTCATCATTAGTTAGCAGCGTGAAAAAACTACCTCCGACGAAAATAAAACTGTTATTAGCAACAGTAATTATAGCAATCATCATTAATTCTTGAATGCGAAGAAGTTATTGATGAAATGGAATGGACAAGGTGGCGTAGTATATATTTGAATTCGTGTGTTGTCATGAGACTTAAAAGTTAAAATCCAACGCCGATTTAATGCAGTGGCGGGGTAGGGCAAGTTAGGTGAATATGAAATGGCCACTTAAACGGACAAAATGACCCCGCACAATCCTTATGAAAACTGGATTTCGACTATTTTTTAAAAAACTTTGCTATGTCATGGTTCTGATCGCGTAGATCAAAAGTCTCAATGGGCACAAACTTTGAAAAGTCCTTTGTTTTGGACCTTCGACTCCTGAAATATTAACTTTTTCCTCTTACGCTGCAAAGTAAGAATACAATTCTTTTTGGTAAAACTACATTACATTCATAGTAAATGGACCTTGGCCGATTCATTTGAGATGTTTCCAACTTCCGGTTTCGACCGGAAGTAGCCTATTTGAACCGGGAATCAGTTTTTTTCAAGTAAAATAGTATATTTTTTTATTGCGGATTTCGATTCAACACCGAAAAGTGTGAAACTTTAAAACATTTTTTTCTAAAATGCGTTTTTTGAGCTCTAAATGATCTTTGAAGTTGACGTCATGCCGATTCCCGTGATAGGCTACTTCCGATCGGAATCACAAGTTGTAAACATCTCTAATCGATCGGGTAAGGTCCATTTACTATTATTGTAATGTAATTTTACAAAAGAGCATCATTGCTGTAGCATAAGGGAGGAAAAATTCAACTTTCAGGGGCCGTAGGTCCCGAACGAAGGACTTTCAGACTTTGTGCCCATTGAGACTTTTGATCCACGTGATTAGAACTATCTCATAGCAAAGTTTAAAAAAAAATAGACGAAAGCCACTTTCATAAGGATTGTACGGAGTCCTTTTGAATATAAGCATAGGCCTTGTTTAAACAAGTGCAAAGGGAAATTTCTGATTTTTACTAAAACTTATTTTGACTATAAATTTTGAACCATTTGAAATTAATTTATTTTTGGTATATGAATGAAATCCAATAATAGTCCTGATATAAAAACTCATAATTCCAGGATCATATTGAAAAAATTCATATTTTTTATAGCCCCTTCAAAAAGTAGGTACCTTGTATGTATATTTTTTCCACTATTTCATACAGCATACTGAAACTCAACTTTTAAACTAAAATGAAATTCTGGTAATACATTTTGTGAAAAATTGTTTTCAAATTTTTCTTCAAAAGTACATATTTTATTAGTAGCTATTATACTTTTACTTTAGTTTAATCATCGACTGATGATATTATAAGAAACAATTACCTGCGGTCTATAAAAGGTGATTCAGTTACAATGTCATTAATTTTAACCACGTATTCGGAAAGCGTAATAAAAACAGAAAATCGAAAAAAACTAATTGAAGCGTAACAGCTGATTTCCCGAGTAGTCTTGAATTTTGCTTGGTTTCAAAATCAAACTGCAGCGGATCCCAACTGTATTAACAAAGTGCTATGGACGGATGAATGAGTGTATTTTTTTAGCCGTATTGGCGTCTTAAATAGGTACGTACCATGCTATTCTTTGAAAAGCAATGTCACTAGGTATACGTACTACAAATTGAACATAATACTCAAAACTCATATTCAATTACTTATAAAACATAGTGAAAACGTTAACAATATTAAGAATACTAAATTGTAATAACCTGACATTCAAAAACAATTATTATCCTTATATATTTGATTTTATTATCAAATAAATAATTATTAATATTTAAAATGTAAAAAAATGTCTTATTCATTCATAATGTCTAGGTAAAAAGATATGTTTATTATTTGTCGTTCGCTACGGATTGAAAACGCAATAAAAGCTAGGTTAGTGACCGAATAATACATTAGGTCAAGATTCACTCTCGATAAACCTTTTTAAATAATTATTTGAAAATATTTTTTTTATTTGGTTTTTGTTTTTTTTTATTTTTTTCCTATCTTCCCTTAGAATTAATGACATAACTGAATCACCCTGTATATATTTAATGCTATTTACCTGTGGTTAAAAATTATTCAACGAAATCGGAAAATTCTCTGTATCATTCTTATTTAGATAATTACTAAATTATACAGAAAAATTTCATATAAAACAGATTTTTTTTGACTCATTCAGTAGCAGAAAACAAATGAACATATATGAATAAACATCAAAATTCTGGTATTTGACGTTTGGTTTTGGCTTGAAAACTTAGTATTATTAATGTTTTAGTTTGTCATTGAAAAAATTGAACAGCGGGAGGAACGTCAAAATTTGGGCCGTTAAGCAAAATCAAATTCGGACCCCTTCCACATTTCCAAATTTTTCATTTTGCTGTAGTTTCGAGTCAAGAAAGATGCAAAAATTTCTACGCCACTGATTTTTACCAATTTCGCATGAATTCCTAAAATTGTAATTGAAATCATACTTGCAGAAAAAAATCATTGTAGAAGATCATCAGTGATTTTGTTGGCACTTTATTGAAAATTACGTTTCTAATAAAACTTCTTGATTGAGTGAACAGTTCTAGAGATATTTTAACTTTAATTAAAGTGACGTTTAATGACGGCAGTAGGTATAAATAAAAAAAAGTTATAACTCGAGAATGGTAGATTTTATAAATAGAAATAAACATAAAAGAATTCGTTTTCCTCAAAAATACCACTAGGAGTAAAAAGTAGTGACACAATTTCCGGAATATCCGGTGGCGTCGAATTTCTTCTACTCATTTATATACGAATGCTGCAGATTTTTACCTTTAATTAACCGCCTCCCATTTTAAGATTAGAAAATAATAGAATAGAACAAAGGTTGGTTCATATTAAAACGATATTAGCAGTTTTTATGAGAAAAAAAATAAATACACAAATTCCGGAAAAGGTTGAAATAATTTCAATTGTTTTATGTACTTCGTTGATTTTTGACATAACTCAGAAATGACATATGTATAATTAGTGGGGTTATGTGTCATATCATTCCCTGAACTTGAAAATGATTATTTTACAAACTATTAACTATTGTTTATAGTACAACTTGCAGTCAACAACAATAAATAAAATTTAAAAAATTTAAAAATTAGTTAAAACGAAAGGTAAGTTCAACTACAACAACGACAGCAACGACAACAAATAGTGAAATCTATGCCTGTCTCATATCTGACTGCACTTGTTAGTGACTGACATAGATTTAATTGTCAAATAAATTAGTACTTTCCTTATTTTAGATTGAAAGTGGTCCCATTTGTTGTTACATCAGTTATACAGGGAAAAAAATCCCTGGTGTATGAGCTACGCCAAATTGAATCAGAAATTCTTGTTTAAGGCCAATCCTTAAATATTAGTCGCTAGTATTTCCAGATTCGAGTTTTGCCATTCTTAATAAATCACTGTATAAAAAATGCATTGAAACACAAATATTAAATATGACTACCGTCCCCTTGTAGAAATGGTTATATTGGCTTAACTGAACCTAGATTATCAATATTACATCCTCTATCAACCTCGCCAATAAGAACTTAGACGCCGTTTTAATTAAAGCCATGAAAGTAATGAGAAAGGAAAATTGAATTTCTATAAAATATGCTTCGTAATAAGTAAAAGTCGATTATCCCATACATGCCAGAATTGTCAATTATCTCTGAAACCCCTTAATTCGATTTCATTTTATAATACGGCGAACCTTCAGAATCTTATATCCTTGTGTTGCGTATGAGCAATTTCGCAACAATCGCATATTTTACGAACGAATTCATAATTACTTCGCATTTGTGATGTTAATTCTTAATAGGAGAAGCCCTACCGAGCTGCACCGCCGATTACACCAGAGATTTGTTCTAAAGTGACTAGAGTTGAATTTAAAATCAATTCTACGAGGGGAAACTGACGCAGGATATGTTCGGAAATTGAGATAGTTACTACAAGATTGGGATGAATTGACTGATATATCAATCAACAGTTTTCATTTCCCTTTTATGCCGTCCCCACCATTATACACACTTCCAGCAATGTATTTAATTAATCTCTATATTATAATCTATGGCACGTGCAAGGTGTTGGGTTTACGGAATGTAAAAATAAAAACAAAATTCTAGCTAAAATGATACCCAATAGCCCTTTAACACATCGAAAATAGAATTCTAAACAAGGTTAAATATAGTCAGCTTATTTTATTGAAAAATATCACTTTAATATGTTACAACTATCAAAAAATAATTATCTGTAGCCGAAAAACGTCTTTAATAAATCTGGATACAGTGGCGGCTCGTGACATTGAAAATGTGTGAAGCATATTCATTGATCGACTAAAATGGAAAA